ACTCTACGTTGCCTGTTTTGTAACGATATAAGAGGTTTCAGTCTTGCTACCCTGCTGTACACTCTCTGAGCATGTAACCGACGCCTAGCAATTTTCACAGACACATTCTTATGTGTGAAATTGTTCCACTGTGTTGTCAACTGACAAGCAGTGTCGAACTTTGACAACCTGGACATCAAAATCAGTCGTCGGTCTTCACGGCCAGTATTTTTTCTTGGACGACCCATCAGAGGCAATTTGTCTCTTTATCCAGTGTTTCTATAGGCCTACCGACACCAGACCCTCTGCACGGTTCTGACTGAACAATTCAACTGTATCGATATTCTGACATTGCTTATATTCCGCCTCTTCAGGTTAATAACTTGCACCTATAACCGTTAGATAATTGCCTGTATCTTGCCATATTGGAGGAAGACAGGAATAACATTTGCTGTACATGTACAAGACCAACAATACAATTCCATGGTATAGCGGTTTTATACTCATTAGTCACATTATAAGTAGACCAGGCCTTACTTTTATTACTCTGAGTTAGGGGGTGACACTTCTATTGTCCAGTGTGTGTACATTTATCATATTTTCTTTGTATGGGCAGTAACCAAATAAGTAATCAGGTTATATAGCTCGCAACTCACATTTGCATATCGGACAACCGTCTTCATTTTTTACAAACCCATTAATGCAGAACATCTTACATATTGGGCCGCAAACTGTGGCGGCTGAAAAGAAAAAAAAAATCATATCATCCTTTTGGTTAAGAGAGAGATTTTAGGCCTATATCAATATCTGAAGATACTTTAATAGTTTATAGGCCCCTAGCTAGGCCTATGTGTAAATAACATTAAAATTTAAGAAGAAAAAATCAATAAACATAGGCCTAGTGAACAACACTTACCTTCAACCGAAACCACCACGAAAACACAAACCAAAACCAGTATCAATCCCTTCATTTTTTACAGAATACACGGATTCGAACTAACCCTTTGGCAGATGATAATTTCAGAAGGGACTAAATAAGGGTTGGAGTCAGTTTATTCTTACATCATTTCATGGCGTAGGATTGTTGATAGCAGTGAGAACCAACAGATGTAGGGGGTTTATAAGCCGATTCTGATACAGACCTTTATATGGGGTAGGGCTTAGGCCTATAGCCTAAATTTAAAGCGGTTTGCCGAAGCATTTGTAGGCCTATTCCAAAGGTTCATGGAAATAACGCAAGAATGTTCAAGAAAATGAAGGCCTATTTTTGGTCCAAATTGCACTGCAAATTCACATAAGGGAAAATATTTTTGCTTATTGGGGAATGTAAAATGTATTGGAATTTTTTCGCCCATACTTTCAACACTGTAGCCTATTAGGCCTAATTAACGCACATAACCTGTTTAAAATCAATCGCCAAAACATATAGTTTTTAAGTAGGCCTAGGCCTAAAGATAGGCCTATAACGGAATTAACCCAACAATTATAGGCCTTAATGCGAAATTATTTCTTTTTAATAGTCATAGGCCTAAATATAGTCCTAAATGTGCGTGATTTAAAATTTATTTTGATTTATATATAATATGACCCTGTACTGTGCATGCGGCTAAATTTCGTCTGCTTTACCATAGGCGCGCGCATTAAGATAATCACGTGACATCCCTTGACATCGAGAAAGCTTCAAAATGGCCGATAAACGGAGACAGCCAGTGGCACAGGGAGGTTTTTGGAACTCACAGCCCACCTCCTACAGTCAAGAAACACAACAGTTGTTAAAACGTAAGGTTCAGATTGTAACGGGCGTGTGGATAGAGTTATTAACTGCTAAATACTATGAAATGCTCACAACAGTTTGGTGTTCATCGTAAAAGAAGTATTTTCAATGGAATTCATATTTGTAAATAAAACTCGCCTAATTTTTTAGATTTGATTAAAATTATTTTGCAGAAATGATGAAGGAATCTAAACTTACAAATTTTCAACAGAGGGAACTGTCAAATAAAGTTAGATGTAAGTATGGTGTGTGTTTTAAGTTACAATACCATTATTTATTTGCATTATACTGTACAGTATGTACCATACCTGGTACTATTTCGCTTAAGAAGATTGATCCTCCAAGATTGTACCTCATATTAATACAGTAACATGTTATCCATAATAAGGTGAAATTATGAACATTTGGATGGTATTTTAACATTTATACATGACATTTATCCACTTGAAGATATAAAAATTTTTTGAGTTTTTATTGAAAATTTCACTATAAAGATTTTTCAAACTCTAGACTGTTGAACGAGACGTTTTGTATATAGCATTTAATGTCATGCAGTATACATGTTTTTATGTTAATTTTTTTTTTTTTTTGGAAAAATGTGATATCAGGCTTACCTCTTCAAATACGGGTATTTAATTTGGCAACAGGTATATATATATGTTCGTCTGTTGTGATAAGATTACGACAGTACACAATTTTAACCATTTCTAGCTGGAGAAACACTACCTGTTACTTGTAATCCCACCTCCAGTGCAAAACCTAGGCAACCAAAGGCAAAACCACCACCTCAAAAAGTTGTCAACCCAAGGTATGTTGAATAGAATTTGCTCTCAGTGACAAATTCTTAAAGCAATTCCTTGAGTTTATGTCAAATTGTCAACATTTGGTCAGCCACTATGAATGATTTTGTTTCATTTACACGAAAGATGAATTGTTGAGGTCTGGGAATTACAATTGAATTGGAACGATTTGTTTCCAGCTGTGTTTATTTACTTATTCACTTTTTATTTATTTATTATTATTGATATTTTGTACATCGTGAAAATGGTTTAAAACTTCTGTTTATATATCTCCACTGGATCATGTATAATAATTTACAAAATAATCCTGTTATACATGTATTTTCAGATCTGCTGGTGGGGGCATCAGGTTGAAGGAAACTATTGAAAGTACAGGAGCTTATGAAAGACCAGATTACCAGCCAGCACATATCAGTGAGTATGTTTTTAAAGGGATAATAACTCTTCATTTCGGCCAAAAAATGAATTTTTCTGGAGTAAACAACAATTTCCCATACTTACCAATGGTTAATGAATCCATTTTTACATTCAAAGTTAGTCCCTGGATTTTTTTCTAAAAAGTTTGGTTTTTTTGTTAAAATCTCTTAAGAGATTTTAACAGAGTATAGCCATCAGTGGAGGTCACATGGTCTAAAGACAAGCTNACTTACCAATGGTTAATGAATCCATTTTTACATTCAAAGTTAGTCCCTGATTTTTTTCTAAAAAGTTTGGTTTTTTGTTAAAATCTCTTAAGAGATTTTAACAGAGTATAGCCATCAGTGGAGGTCACATGGTCTAAAGACAAGCTCAGATATCAGAATAATAGCTATGACTGCCATTTTTGTGGTAAAACAGAATATATTATATTTCTATGAGTTATTCACAATGTTGTTATTGTGAAATATAGCTCTCATATGAAGAGTTATTATCCCTTTAATTTCATGGTTGCTCATAAGAAACAGTACAAATACTGTAAACAGAATGCAAAGTTTTGTTGTTAAACATGTTATCAACAATAAAAAATAACACATAAAACAGACTGCACCACAACTCAAAATACATCAAATATCTGTAATCTGTTAAGTGGGTAACTTTTATCTCAGAAGTCTTTAATGTTAGTTTTACATTTAAATGTAAATCTTTCACTGTCAGATCATTCATGTTTTGTAAACATCATGGCACATGGTGAAGATGTACCATCAACTTCAATTGAAAATGCTGTACTGTAATTAAATATGTTAATTTTTTATCCAGAACCTGTCACAGAAAAAGATAAGGAGCGTCTTGCCAACATCATGGCATATGGTGAAGATGTACAACCACCCTCAGTTGAAAATATAGTCCGTAGAATGGACCCCAGTCCAGAGCCAGAAATAGACAGGTTTCAGGAGTGTGAGTGTTAAAAATTTGAAATTCAGTTTTTTTTTTTCATTTGGTCTAATGATATTCATTGAATTAGTTACAAATTTTTGTCAATAGAAAAACACTTTCACGAGAAGTAAGTATTGATTTTGTAACACTTAAATAGCCTTAAAAATATACCAGTGTGTTACTTTGCAAAAATAAAAAATGGTAATATAATAAATAAGAAACAAATGAATATAAATTGAAAATGGAAGTAAGCTTCTTTTGAGACTGTTTTTTTTTTTTTTTTTACACTTTAGTACAAGATGAAATTGAGGAAAGGAAAAGATTTTTGGATGACATGGATGCTATAGGACAGGGGCACAAGTATAGAGCTATTATCAGTACAGAAATATCACAGGTAAGCCTCATGTCTTAGTGAAGGTTCAGAGAGTAGCAGCCACCTTCTGGGTATGTACCACCAGCTAGATGGGGCATTTGCCTGCAAGAAACCGCCTCTCATAAATCACTTTGTCATTTGATTCATCATCTTTATAAATTTATCTATAATCAGCAAAAGGTGTACATGTTTCAGTCCATAATGACTTACAAACCACTTATTTTAAGCAAGTTTCTTTTCCTTTCAGAAAATCAGGGAGATGGAACTCATAGACCAGAAAAAAACTAAACAGCTCAAAGGGTTATTGCAACTGCAAAAGGAAGATCCAGCATCTTGATCATTTGATTGTACTAAACATCCAGGTCTTGATGTTTAAGAAATGATGGTTTAAACCAGAATAAATTATACATGGTCATGACTCAATCTTTTCAATGGGAAATATTGTCATCTTTTCAGATACTTAATTTTGGAATCTTTAACATTCATTATCCTTTCTTGCATTAGTGGTGCTTTTCCTGTAAAGAACAGAACTACAGGCTAGCCTACTATTCAATATGTTGCTACCACTCAATGGGAATGTTCTAATTAAAAGAAATTATGCTTTTTAAAAAATGCAATATCTGTAAAATCCACGGTTATCACCATTTACAAGATTGAGTCATTCCAGTAAATTTCACAAAAGAACTGGAGAATTAAAATGGGCCCCCAACTTCCACCAAATGTTTTAGTGTTTTTGACATTGATAGAACTTTTTTTAGCTTCTATATTTTAATGGATTACTATGGATTTGGATTTGAATTGAATAAGGCCTAGAAGTTAAGACCTCTTTCAGTCTGAAGTTTACTTGTGAAACTACCCTAGAACTCCTGGGTACAACAAAACAGTCACTGTATTTAATTATATTTGCAGTGACATTTTGATGTGAGAAGCATCATGACACGTGAACTTTATTGCAAAATGATGACTGCTTTATATATTATTTATTATAAATTTTATTTATTTATTATTATCCTTCAAAACAGTACTATGTAATGTTTACTGGCAAGTAAGGGTGTTTTGTTTTAACTTGTGAAAATAAGAAAATTTGAAAACTTTTAAAAATTCCATTTTAAACAGTAAATAACATTTATTGCTTCATAAAAATAATGTAAAGCAGATAACTGCTAAATTTTTAAAAGCATAAATATGACTTTCAATGTTAACATAAAATCACATTTGTAAAATATATATATCATCATTACATACCATTTTTTGCCATTTTGAACTACAATAACATATTAAATGTGTTTAAATCTAGAATGTTTTTGTCTTCTTTGAATGTGACTACCGTGCACCTTACATATACCTAATGGACCGTTCTGATTAGGTTTTTATAGTCCCATATGATGAATGAGGAGAGGTTGAGCTTCATTTTAAACGAAACTTTCCATAGCCAGCATATATTTTTGAGGTATTGGTATGTTGTATTCATACAAATATGGGAGGGGAGAGGGGAGACTTTAGACATTGCTTGTACTTGCCAAGAACAATTCTAATGCAGCCTTTTTAGTTGACTTACAGATAAGCACCCAGAAAAATTCAAACTGCCATGGTTCTCTAGCAATCATAAACAATCAAATAAGACTGAAAACGTACAATCATGTCTTAACACTTAAAGCACCAAGTTGTAGCTTGAATTTCTTTTTATAAAAAAGGGATTAAAATGTACAAATGAATGCACTATTAAATATGGTGCTATATTTATGCTATTTTATTTTGCTTCATATTAAAAAAAACCTAGTACTGGCAGTGGTTACATAAAAGCATACCAAACCCCCAAACCCTATTTAAATCATGTTGGCTAACTAAATATTGCACATTTTCTCATTTACCAAAACATTTCCTGGACTAAATAAAAACCAAAAGCTAATATATATAAGAACATAATACATTTGCTTTGAATTCCTATAACCAGATTATTTCACTTCTTCAACCTGCCCTTGACAAAAGCAACATAGATGTTTAAGATACAATTAAGCTACAACTTAAGATGTTTGCAAATACAAACTGAAAGACTGATAAATTCCAGTGGTGATATATGGTATGGAATCATCACCTACCAGAATTCATTGTGATAATGTGTCTATTTACACAAGGTGAACAAATGGTTATAACAGGTACATAAACCAACTACAACAACAATTACAATGGTTTTTAACAAAATTTGTCAAAGGAATAGGGACTGAACTTCCAAGTTGTAAAACACAGTCGTATTTCATACCGTTTTCATCATTTGAAATATGCCATGTTTAAAACATTTAAATCTTGAAAAGATTTTGAAAACATGTTTAAAAATAGTGAATAGGATGAATGAATACTAGATGAGTTTAAACATTATAAGAAAAGCAACAAAAATGTATCACAATTAATTGTGCTAATTGCTCCTACTCTTTAAAACGTTTCAATAAAATTTATTTATTCAAATGCAAGTTTATCAGAATGTTAACTTTACAGACATAAGGCACAGACTAATAGAAAAATTGATAAGAATGGCAATTAACTTCATTTGGTGTGGTCCAATGTTAAAACAAAAGTATCAAGCATTGCATATTGACAATCAATAGCTTGGTGGTGGCATTATTTCTTCTTTCCCTTCTTTCCCTTTTTATCTTTCTTTTCCTTTTTCTTCTTGTCTTTTTCCTTCTCTGGAATGCCTGTGTTTAGCCCTAGAATTTCAAAATATTATATCTATATAAAAATCAATGCAATTAAGCCTCCTCTTATTTCAGAGATATAATCACCAGCTTTTCTATACTATACTCAATGCCAGGAGGAAGGATTACATTCAGCAAGAGTCCACGTGGAGTTAACGGTAGACAAAATTCATTGTGAACAGTCCTACTGTCAGGAGCAGATTACTTGTGTCAATTAGTTTTATGTGAGCACCTTTAGTATTTTAAAGTACCCACACTGAATATCAAATGACTTTTATCAAATGAATAAACTGATAAATCTAAATGAGCATGATAAAAACATGAAATCAATTTACCTTTCTCACTCAAAACAACCTCAATTTCTTTATCTTCTTCTTCAGCCCTAGAAAAAGATGGAAATAAAACTATGAAGTTACCAGTATTTTTCAAGAAATTCGATTTAGACTTTTTGAGGAATGCAAGTATGCAACTTAGTCAGCACAAATTTTTCTAACAGTCTTTATTAAGACAGAATTTATACTTGGTTTTACAAAAATGCTTTTTGAAACAGACCCATGGAAACATGAATATGTCTACCTTATCCTGTCCTCTTCCATTGTATCAACAACCCTGCTTCTCTCTTCCACAACTTGTACCAACTCAGCCAGTAGTTCTTCTTCTTTTTGTTTGTCACTGTCAGTCTTTACATGCTCTAGTAAAAGATACAAATGTTTTTAAAGATTGTTAACATGAATTGCAGCAGTAACTGACTCAAACATACAAAGACCAGTACTAACAAGGATCACAAGTAAAACATCAGGCATCAAAGAATTCCACTGACAATTCAACATGTAAAATTATATTGAAATTAAGTAACATAATAAGACATACAAAGAAATATCAGCAATTACATATGTATAGATGTGTGCTAAATTTTGAAATACTCCATTTAACATATGGTTTGCTTTGATAATTCCTTCAAACAAATAAATTCAACTTTGAATTTTAGAACAACGGTCAATTTTTTTGTATCAAAATGAAGTGAGTTTGGGGACTGATTTGTAAAGATTTATTTAAAATGTGCCATGTTCAAATCATTAAACCCACCATATCTGCAATCTACAAATGGGTACAGTGTTTTGAATGAATGAACTGGTTGAATTAAGTGCGTATTTAGGGAAAAGTATCAAATACAGGATCAACCTCTCAATTAATGACACTTTTAATGTCACTGGGGTATTTTGTGCCTATGCGTTTAGCATTTATATTTAAAGATGTCCACACAAAACCAAAATAGTGTATTACCTTGTTTTTCCATAATGCACCTCAAGTCATATTCAATATCTGCTTGTCTGTCTTCTAGTGCCTGTAGCCGAGAGCTATAGAAACAAGTAGCTTAATATTAGTGCTTACACCATAGATTACAGCCACCACATGACAGCCATGATATACACATATATATATATATATATCTGCTGGTTTATCACACATGATAGCAGTAGCATACTTGGAAGCCCTGCGTAGCTGTGTATACGTATGATGGCAGGCCCAAACCATGAGTAGCATTATATCAAACAAGACCTGCAGAAAGAGAGAGAGTGAGGGGGGTTAACAATAACCAAGCACACACCACACAACTAATGTACAGGATGTGCAGTACAAAAGCCAGAGGAGTCAGAGTCTGAGCAAGTAGCGGTAGTAAATGTCACCGACTAAAGCTAACTAACACCATGAAGTTAGTGGTGTCATTTAGTGACTGACTGGTGCCAATTTGGTTGTGTTAGTGTTATCACCAGTGGTGACTGGTGCCAATTTGGTTGTGTTAGTGTTATCACCAGTGGTGACTGGTGCCTTGAAGATGTATTGGAATTGATGGAATGGAGTTAGTAAGTGACTGGTTGTACCTATAGGAACAATCTATTGTAGAAGTGACTGGCATTATGTATCATGTCAGTAAAAAAATTTGCATGAAGGTGATAAACTAGTGGGGATATTAACTCAGCATCTATTCTGTGGTGGTGATTGTTTGAGTATGTGTTGTGTGTGTGCAACATAACTATAGAAGCAAAGAGCTAAACAAGACAACAGGAAGATAAAAAATATTGTGAATGTGTATCTGAAACAGATTTGCAGAAACAAAATTAGATTCATGATGATTTTCTAAAAATAGTATTATGCCAAGTTAGTCTTGAATCAAATTAAAATCCATGCTGTAAGTTAACATAAAGAAATTAAGCACAGTAAAAATAGTAAAAATTATATAAATTTGTTAAATTAGTAAAACATGCTGATGGCAAAATTTCTCGATTAAATGTTTAGGGTGTATTTTGTATTGTGTAGAAGCTTCCAAGGCAAACATGCTCTATTAGGCAGGTACAGGGCAGGCAATCAAGTCGGGTGGGATAGCTACTTGCTCACTGGCTCCTCAAACACATCATCATCATCCAAATAATCCTCCTCCTCATCATCATCACTTGCAGCAGAGCCACTGCCTTTATGATCTGAAGCAGTAGCATATTCTTCAGAACTATCAGATTTCTTGTCACTTTTATTGTCACCGTTGTTGCTACTGTTGCTGCTGTCAATTTTGGCATTACTGTCTCCGTCTAAGCTGCCACTGTGAGAATTACTGGCTTCGTCATCGCTTGTGCTGGTAGTGCTGCTACAATGTGGAAAGAATGTGGGTTTGACAGTGAAATAAAGCAAGATGTGATAACACTCACAACACACTTGCTATTGGACATACACAAGGTGCACTTGCTGGAGTGCCAGCCAGCCCCGCTGCAATTTTCAAAACCCATTGTTAATAATATAGTACAACCTATTTCCATCATAAAGCATTATTCACAAGCACTGGGTCCTGTTTCACAAAAAGTCTTACTCAGTTATTTTTTGGCTAAATACTTAGTCTACTAACATTTAGCCAACTAAGTTGATTTCCCTATGAATTCAGGCCTTACCTTGTTGAACAGCACAATTAATATTGCTAATAAAATGCTCCTAGTCGACTAATATGGCAACACCAACTTTACATAGTCAGCTATCCAATTTTAGCAGTCTACCATTTAGACTTTTTTGTGAAACAGAGCCCAGATCTAACAAAAACCTTGAAGCGCCCAGCAGATTAATGGCTGCTCACTATCAGTTATTACCCAACATGACATAGACTGCCTGACTACTGATATCACGTACATACATTCATACAGATCATAATTCTTGTAAAATTAAACATCCAGTGCAAAGCACAGTACAGAAGAAAATCTATTAGATTCAAACTGTAACATCAAAACAATTAAAAAAAGGTAGCTTATGCAAAATTATACCTAATAAAATAAAGGTTAGGGTTGACACTCAAAACTAGTCTTTAACAAAAGTAGGCATTCAAACAGATGGAAGTGACAAACCCAAATCTTTTCTATCTTTCTCCCCCTATTTTTTAGAGGGAGCGTAGTTTGGGTGGTTAGTGTGTGTGTGTGTGTGTGTGTGCACGCGCGCATGTGCATGTGTGAAGGGGGTTTGGGTAAAGTTGACAAGTCCCTTGGACTGACACTATGACTGGTAGATTCCATCAGCAATAAAACATGCAGTCAAATACTGAACACAATGTACAGTACCAATAAAATACGTTCATTTTAGTCTTTGATTACATACATTGCCATCATCTTTATATGTTGTTGGTTTAAATAAATTATGAAAAGTAAATCTCAATTTTGAATTGAAGAGTAACTGGCTCTGGTAATGTCAGACTTATTTCACTTCTTAAAATTGTAAGCAATTTTGTAAAAGCTCAAGAAGTTACTAAACTGTATATTTTCTGTATTAATTTCAATCAGTTTTTGGCTGTTGTTAATAATTTTGGACTTGTTTCACCATGAAATCCCTTACATGTAAATTATCTCTGACTCCCTCCTCACCATCCTGTTTTTCTTGTTTACAAGTTCAAACCACTGGCTAAGGAGTTCATCGTCATCTTCGCCCTGACTCCCAGCTGAAATGATACAAATAAAATATTTAAAAAAGCCGTCCACAAGTGCTTCTATATATTTACATACACCATCATTATTATGTGTCAAAGGAGTTCTATTTCTATGGTTCTAGTTAGTATAGCAATGAAAAAAGACATGCATAATTTTACAGTCATTATTTATTGGAGTATGGCGTAGTGAGTAGGAGTATTGGAGAAAGTACCATGGATCATGCATATAAAGATTTACAGTAAGTGATTACACATGTAAATTCACAAAAATACAGTTAATTATAATTTTTTTTTTCTTTTTTTCTGATATTTTTGACTATAGGTTGCAGTAAAATGCTTCAACAATAATAAGAAAATGGAAGGTTAAACACAATGACAGCAAAATTTCTCCACACGTAAAAATAAGTCTGTTGTCTTCCAAGAGGTAGCTCTCAAACATGTTATACAGATCAAGAATAAGTCCCCAATCCCTGTAACATGAAACAACAAAATCTTCCCCATTTACTCCACTTCACCAGGAAACTTTGCTGAACTATTTTCAACATAATTGGATGTCACTTATTTCTCCATCTGGATGAAGAAAGGCCTTGGGTGTAAAGTGTCATAGTATTGAGACACCAGGAAGATCACTAGTAGTCACCAATGGATTTGAACTTTGAACACATGGAACCTGTGCCTTGAGACAATGGTATCATATAACCCCCCCCCTCCAAACCACACATCCAAATATCAAAAGATCCACACTTGTGCATACATACAAATAAAAATGTCCTTTACACTTCAAAATCATTAAAAAAATGATCATAATAATAATAAACAGTTACATGCCTTGGTGAGTACAATGAAAGGCAATATAATGTTATGAAGGATGTCATGCTGGATTTTTTTTTAAAAAGGCAATACATAAAAGAAACAATATCTTCAAGAGCAAACAATGTCTGTACCTGATACTATGATATACAAAGTTTTGAGCAAAAATTTTGCATGATGTTTCTGAATCTTTGTCACCTGATAATTCTACAAGGCTCATGATACACAGTATCACAAACCAGGCCTGATCAGAGTCACAGCCTTCATCTATTTATCAGTGGATAATATATTGTTAAAAACTTGTATGAAAATGAAAAAAGTGAAGTAATAAGCAAACCATGCTGAATAATAATAATTATAATAATAATAATAATAACAGATTGATACAGATGAAATTGTAACACATACTGTGCCAGTTGATCTGCAAAAAGTGATGAGTTTCTGAAAACATCTTTATACTGAATGAAAAATTTGGTAGATCAAAACAATACCCAAATTATGTACTTCTATTTTATTTTTTCAAAACTGAGGAAGAAATAAAAATCATCGACATGGATGAATTGGTTTGTAAAGAGGCCCCATTTATGAGGTATTCACTTCATTTGAAACGACAAATATTCTTGTTTTAAAGCATGCCATGCAAGACCATTCCCACACAATTACCTCTTGATGAGGGCTGCAACAGCTTGTAAAATAAAACTAAATGTTATCCTAAAAGCAAACTAAAAAGCATTCCAAGTATACATCCTTTTTCTATCAATAACTAATATATCTAATGACTGCAAATTTCACTTATCTAGGTTATTTATTCAAAACTTGCACAAAATGAAACAGGATTGAAAAAATAACTTACATCCTCTTATTTTATTTTCCAACTCCCTTCCCTCCACTTCTAGTTCTGTCTGTTCTTTGTCCAGGACATCCAACTCATGCTTGATTTCTGTTGTAGACAGACGTCTCTCTCCAGAGCAGATCTGATGAAGAAAACAAAATTGGAAGCTTATTAAAAATATTTGGTGGATGAAACCATGAATTACTATGATTAATTATTAATTATTGCAACTATCTAATTTCCTACTCAAAATGGCATAGAACAGGTAAAAATGAATGCTATAAAGATCAAATGAAAAACTAGCTGGTCAAAGTAACAAAAAGTGTAGACCTTTTAATTTCAACCAATGATAAGTTTTATAATTGATCAAAAATTGAGAAAAATAAATGAACCAAAGTACCCTCTCCAATTCTAGCACTTAAATCAGTATTGCTGAGTACTCACCTTACGCTTTGGTGCTATGGGTCTTGAAGGTGCATTGCGTTTCTTATATCTGGGGTGTGTGTTGGATAAATCCAGTTCTTTCTCTGGGGAGCTTACAATGCCTGGTGAGGGTGTTGGAGAGGGAGTTGGGGAAGGTGAAAGAGGTGGTGTATCCTTTGGTGGCTGAGGTGCTAGGCGTTTCTTTCTTGCCCCTCCCTGCTGGCGTGGAGAGTCCACTCCTTCACTCTCGCTAAAAGTGGACGAAGATCGCCCTTGATCTGTACTGGTGCTATCAAAGTGAAAAGGCCTGTCTGGCACAACCTTCTTAAGTCCACGGCTTGATGGGGCAATGTGTTTTTCCTCCTCCTCATTGTCATCATCTTTAGGATGGATTACTTTTCTACTGGGAGATTCATACACCCCTCCTCTAGCTTCCTGGCGTTTCTCTGCCTCCTTCTGCCAGTCTAACTTGCTTTCAGGTTCTAAAGTACCTGCATTACTACGTGGAGGTTTGGGAGGGGGCATCTCTGATACGCCATTATCAACTGGCCTCGTGCCTCTCCCTTTTGTTTCCGAGTCAGAACTGGACACTGATCTGCCTCTCAGCCAGTCCTCCTCAGACTGACTTTCTCTGGCAATTCTCCTACGTTCTGCTTCCTTCTGCCAACCTGACAATTCTCCTGCATCCTCATCTTCATCAGAGGTATCAAAGGGATTTAAACTTTCTCCTTTCTTCTTTTTTGTTTCCACAGGTGAACTTTTCAGTGGAGATTCTGGTACATCGTCTTCATCTGATTCAAATGGGTTGTAGCTTTTAACCTTTGTTCTCCTAGACAGCCCAGCCTTGTTGTTTTCATTATAAATATTAGAAGAATTATCATTCTTAGCTTGGATTTCCTTGGCCAACTGCTTTTCATCATCTGTAGTCCCAAATGGGTTCAATTCATCTGGATACTCTTCTTGGGTTTGTCTCAATGTTGAACGCTCTGGTTTCCCTTTATCAACTTTTTCATCTCTCTCCCATTTTTTAGCCACATCGGTTTTGTTAGAAATCTTTGATACAGAATTAACTGTTTCTTGCTTGAACTTTTCTGGAGTTTTAGTCAGCCAAGATTTTTCTGGATCTACAAATTTTCTGGCTTGGCGTTTTTGAGCTTCTAACTGCCATTCAGGAACATTGCTGTCTTCTTTAGCACCTAGCCTAGATTTTTGCTGCTTTTCTTTTTCATCCCAGCTACTTCGCTTTTCATTAGTTTTTAGAGCAAAAGTTGGAGAATCCTGGACTTTATATTCAGTATTCTCTTTGCTATTTCTCCAACCATACTTTCTTTCTTGCTTAACTTCAAGTTCTTTTGAATTTTTTTCTTTAAGTGGAATGTAAGCAGTTTTTTCATGAACCTGTTTGTCATTTGAAGTACCATTAACCCTCTCATTGTCAATGCTCTTAATCCTTGGTTTTGGAAAAGGTCTTTTAAATTCACCATCAAATTCAACACCACTACCTTTCAAATTACTTTGATCAGTCAAAATAATTTCTGATTTTATAGCCCTCGTTGGAGTCTTTTCAGAGTCTGGCCGTGAAATCTCAGAGTTTAATTCCTTCTTTCTACGAATCACTGAGGAAGTGTCAATGGCAGCACCTTTTTCAACAGATTTCGCATCGTTTAATGACTCTGCACTTGAACCAAGTGACTTCTCAGAATGTTTCCTATCTGGAACACTATTTGGTTCTGTATTTCTTGCTTCTTTAACATCATTCAAAGACTCACTGCTGGAGCGCGATGTTCTGTCAGTTGTTCTCTTTGTGGTTGCTTCTGTAGGGACACTCTTGACCTCTGGTTGCTTATCCTGACATTTCTTATGGAAGACTGCGCCATTTATTTGTACTCTTTCAGAACGAAACACTCTGTCATTGCAGACAGCGCATATGTTTGAAGCTTTAGGAGTGCCCTGTGAATCCAAACTTTCTACAGATGACGCAGCTAAATTTTCTCTTCTCCGTCTACGAGCTGCCAGCAAATCTTCAACAGATGAGCTCTTCAGCTCATTATGCTTGTCATCAACTCCGTATTTTTTCTCTTTTTGGGGTGTTTTATCTAAATTCTCAAGAGAGGATGCCTTTGGAGGTAGTTCAGTCTTTTCAGATTTTTCTGAAATATTGTCATGGGTTGCACTGCGGGGAGCTGGCTTGAAATTTTCTCTGGATTCAACCCCCTCATTTAAAGTTGTCGTCTCAACTTGTTCTTCCATTTTTTCTTCACTACTCGACTGGCTGGTGGGTGATGATGAAGGAGATTCTGATATTTCTTCTTCCTCGGTTACATCAACATGTAGACTTGCTGTCTGGTCCATACTTTCTTCCTGCTTTTCCTCTGAGGCACTTTCTTCTTTTACTCCTTTGGAAAGACCCCTTATTTTGGCACTCAACTTCAACTGCCAGTCTTCTTCAAAATATCGATCACCATATAGTCCCTTTTTAACACTGTTCGAGTCTTTGCTCTGACTAAGAGCATTGTCAGCTGGGGTTTCTTCTTTTGTTTCTTTACAAGGTGTTTCATGTAACTTAGAAGGAATAACCACGTCAGTTTTCCTAACTTCTGGAATTTGCTTTTTTGATGCATCGGTCTCTTTTGTGGGTGTTCCATATTTTTCTTTGTAGGCCTTAAATATGTCACGTTCCTGAATATCTTTACTTTTCTCCACCTTATCACCCGAGTCTCCCCTAGAATCATAACCTGGAGTAACATTAGTCTTTTTCAGTGGACTGTCACTTTCATTTTTCCTTGGTGTACTTTCTAATTTATCAAGAAAAGAATGTCTCACTCCTGTTTGCTTCAGATGTTCAAGATCAGCGCTCTGTGCCTTTTCTTTGCGTATGCTAGATCTTGACACATTACTGATAAAAAGGTCCATAGTCTTTCCAGGAGATGTCAAATCTTTTTTGTCATTGCCTGCCTTCCCCAGTGGTCCTGTTCTTTTCTGCACACCTAGTGAAACTGGCCTTGGCTTGTGATTAGCACTGGTTTTACTAACACTAAGAGCTTCAGAGTTGGCTTCCACAAGACTGTCCAGATCAAAGTCATCCGATTTATTACTATCACTTTTACCAAGATCCATCTTTCTGTTATCTCCTTTGTTTTCAGTCCGTCTTAAAACTGGTGATGCTGTCACTGCTGCTTTCCCAGGTGTTTCTTGCTCTTTATCTTGGAACATAGATATTGCGCTCTTCACATCTGGAGTTGCATCTTTCTTGAACAAAAGTTTCCGACCATATTCACCAGTTTTCAAGCCTCCTTTCTTGGCAGATTTATCTGCTAGTTTATCTTCCGTTTTCCTAAACTTAGAAGGCAATCCTTCTTCGTGGGAAGAAATTTCTTTTGTTTTCCCAACCGGTGTTTTAGTAGTATCTTTACCTAAGTCATGTTTTTTATGGTTTCCAAGATGTAGTCTGAATTTATGCTTGTGGTCCTCGGTGGACTTCTCCTTTTCTATCTTTGTATGTTTAGGAGGCTCGCTGTGGGCGTGCTCCTTGGAATGAGGGACATCAAAACTAAACGCAGGAGTCTCTTTTTTCTGTCGGTGGGATGGTGACAGTGGGTAGCCTCCGTGAGCAGCAGGAGATGGGTTTGAATCCTTCCAGCACGTCCTGTGGTAAGAATGACCGTCTACAATTTGCCTCTCCAGAAGGTAAACTTTCCCATCGCATAAAGCACAGCGATCACTAAGGGTGCTGCTTTTCTTATCAGATGAAGGCTGGAAGACAGCAAATATAAATATGGGTAAGAATAGCCAAAGAATATTTTTCTTTATTTAATGGGGGCATTTTTGTCTGTTGAGTAATGAGAGTCTGTTTGTCAATAGACATGACAAAATCAGGGGAAATATTGAAAATAGTTTGTTTAGAAAAGCAACAACAAAGATAATTAATTTTCTAAAAATTTTCTCTAATGAGATGACTGTAACTAACCCGATTTCACTGTGTGTAGTAGGTGTTATATGTGATGGTGGTGCTGTTTTCTGTACATAGTAACTGCTAAATGTTAACAACATATATCTATTATATTCTTCTATACTTTTTTATAAGTAATACAAAAAATAAATAAATAAATACTACTACTATTAATAATAATAATAATAAACTGTTAAGTTCAGAAGCTAGATGGGTAAGCAAGATGGGTTCAATTCAAAGTTTTCTTTTCACATGAAAATGAAAAATGTGGTGAATTTAAAATTAAGTGTTGGAAATTAGTGGTATATGAAAGTTGTAAATATCATGTGATTCTCTGAGGAGTGAGATCACTTTTTGTATGCAATTACTCCAATCTTGATATCAAATAGACCATAATATATAAGACTGGCTAAATAAAAATGTCCACTTGTATCTTTTATGAATATTAAATGTTTTATAAAAACACAAAAACACAGCAAAAGAAAACTTACCAAAACCATATAAAAGAAAAAGGTGAAAGAAAGGGTGCTTATAACAAAACCAAATGAGAAAATATTGCAGGAAGAAAACGATAAGAGAAAGAGAAAGCTGGTGTAAATATTGGCAGAATACAAGTTTCAACATAAATGATCTGTTCCGCAGTCTGGTTTCCCTCTAGTTTTCAGTGTTACAGCACTAATATTGATCAGGCATTCACTCACACTAATAATATTAGAATAAATGCATATTAAGACCTGTGCTCTTTGAGATTTCTACATTTCAATATTAGTAAAATTAATGCCCTAATAACCAGCTGTTCATGGGATTTCTTCTATATTGCATCCACCTTGCTCCTAAGAGTGTATACGTGGCCACATCAAGGGAAGGCTTCTGGCCTTTACATTGACCCCATATGGGGTACATTACCTTAAGCTTTACTTCGTAATTTTAGACCCTAACATTTGATGCATCTAGCTCCCCCTCCCCTTTCATCCAAACTCTTTCAAATATGTTCCAAGGAATTAACTGTAATACAATTGGAATACCATTTCATCCTGCATACCAAATGCCATACAAAACACTGCTGGTCAAAATAAAAAAGTTTCAGATTCACTGAAAACTCAGCCTTGCCACATTCACTGCTGACCCAATTTTCCATTTATATCAAAAAGTTAACAAAAGTCCCACACAAAACAAAAAGAAGCCATGATAGAAGAGCTCAGGGTCTTAACTGATAACCTGATAACAATTGCCCTACATCCATAAATTAATGACATGGGAAATATATGTTTACTGCATGCCAACCAGTATAGGATCACACATATAAAATGATAATAACTCTTACTTACCTGTCACTGTCAAAATACTATGTGTGTATATAAAACAAACATGCTAATCCACACATTATTTCGAAAATGAGAACAAAGCACAGCCATTGAGCACTTCATGATGCCATTTTACAGCAGAAAATCAATATAACCAGTCACTTGGGAAACAAATCACATTATGTCTGAGTCAGACGTCTGCAGATATTACACATTTTGCTGAAAAATTCACTCTCTACCTACTTACTTCATGCCTTTCAGAGAGAATGTAAAAAAAGTCTGCAATGTGTTTTACATTTGCCTTAAGCAAGCTTCAGTAAACCACTAAAATTCCAGTCAATTAGTTCTACTCTTAAAAATACACATCTACTGCAAGGATGTTTATCTGGGTGGAAAACTTCCTACCTAATGTGCTAATATGGGCTTTCATGTCTGATGCACTTGTGATTAATTTCCTGCCTTGTACTGATTTCAACATTTGAAAATAATGACAGTTTGGTAACAGCAAAATTGTACCAACTTAGCAATTAAGCAATTTGCTCTTGGAATGTATATATTAACAAAAATAATAAATGTCAAAGTTTTATTTTCAGAATGGCATCATATACTGTGCAAACAAAATACCTGTCTATGATAGGTATCCTAACTAGCACATTCAAATTATCATACAGGTGGACTTGTGCACTTGAAAAAGCACCTGGATCTAAATACACACATACACACACACACACATACACACACACAGGGACGTACTAACAGGGAAACAAAAATAACTGCCTGTAACTAACGGTGACTATTAATATGCTAGGTACGTATATTCCATGCCTGGTCATGTTTTTTTTTTTTTTTTTTTTTGGTATATAAGTTCACCACAGAAGTAGCACGAAACCAGTTTTAAAGTTCATGTTTATTTGGTGGAATTATAATTGCTTACATTAGGTTAGGACTTAAGTAATAGTCACAGATGCATTTGATTTTAAGATACCCTTGTTCAAAGCTCATCAACCAACAAATACAAATGGCAATTAAAACAACTGTTGTGTTTATGTTCGTGCAGAATTAAAGAAGAAAACAAAATACATTAAGTTCACATTGAGAGGGAATAAGATTTTTATCTTAAAATAATAAATATTTTTCAAGGAATCAAGTAACACAGCAAAGATCAACAATGGTAGATAAATAGTTCAGCAACATCAAGCCACAAGCAGTAAAATATAGTCTTTGGATTTCTTCATCTACCTTTTATATGTAAGACCGTCTGAGCCTTGAGATATAGCCTTATATTAATACATAGGAGGTATTTATACCAAAAACCTTTGCTGCGGCTATCGGCTATCGAGTGACAAACCAACCCTTCATATATCACAGTTGGCAATCTAAACAGCTGTAGGATTTCTCCTCTCAATAATGTGAAGGGACTGGTAGTAATTTATTGCAATGTCCTCACATGTAATACAGGGAGACACTTGTTTGGGCTATGTCCAATGTGAAAGTCATTAACGTCAACTTATAGTTTTGATTGATGTTTCTCATTCTCTGCACATCCATTAAGCTTGACAAGAGCAAAAGGTGAAGATGACACGTAATCAAAATGTACCAACACATTGAATTACACAGTAGCATGAATATATGAATGCTAAACCTTGTCTTGGTATAATGTGGTCAGAATAAATGCTGAACAATTATAATCAGACATGTCTGAGAGAGATCACAAAAATATGATTGCCACATGTTAACTGTATTCACTAGAAAAACTTACATATTATAAAGATGGACCCATATTCGTTCCCCCTTGCCTTTCTCCTCTTCCCAAGTTTGTATATTATCATTAAGTTGCATAGTATGGAGCATTTCTAATCAAATGAAACAATTCTGTAGGCTGATTGACCTTTTGAAACTTTTTGGGAGGAGAAGGAGAGAGAAAGCTAGATCTGCCAACTGTTCTCCATTTATCTATTAACAATTTTTTTAAACTAAAACCGCATTCTATCTAGTACTTGATAACCTCGGTATCACAGCCGGATATCTCATATTAATAATATGGCAGATTTATATGTGTCCAGTGCACTGTATCATTATACTTTGTCATTTGGTCCTTCCTACTCCTCCCTTATAATAACAGAATACACACAACAAAAGCTGCAGCAAACATAAAGCTGTAACTAATGAAAAGCATATTCGGAGACACACATGAAATGACACATGAAGTTTACTCATGCCCACATGTATCATCTTCCCCATTGTATAGCATGTGTTCACTGAAGGATGAGGTTTGTTGATTTTGCGTATCTTTTTGATCTTTTGATGTGGTTCTTAAGGAAAACCTCAAGTGTGGTCAAACTGAAGTCCAGTCTTTTCTTTAGTACACGGCCAAATTTTATTGTGTATGAATACTACAAGTGAAGCGACTAAGAGGATGATTCTGTAAGTTATTTGATATCATTCAATTCAACCATCAAACTTATATTGCTATATAAACACTAACAGTCCATTCTTCTATATGTTCTTAATGACTTAATTTGAGACACAAGTCAAATGTTGGCACTTATATCACCTCTTTTTCTCATCATGAAATTATCCTAGAAAAATTTTGGGGGACATTTAGTTCAAAATTCATACAAAAGGGCAACAAAGCAAAGATTTCAGCCAATTCCAAAAGGAATTGCCCCTATTTTGCTGGTTGGCAGGTTTTTTGGTTACTAAGACCTGCTCCTTGGTTTCGTTTCCCTTGGCAGAATCTGTCTCATCCATTTTGTTGCTTTCATATTTTGATATCAGGTCTTTAATGGAAATAGGTCTAACATCCTCACTGTCGTCTGCTTTTGCATGGGCAGGAGTCACCTTTTCTTCATAACTTGGGTACCTCTTCACTTCTTTTCCTACTGAAGAACCTTCTGCCATAGAAGATGCAGACTTTGATCTCGTAGGTCGGATTTCATTACCCTTGTCAATGCTGTACCCTGCGGCAACTGGAGGTCTACTCCAGGGTGCGTTTTTCTTTAGGTTGTCATGGCTGGATCCCTTTGAGTTCTCAGGGACAGGCCTGAGGTTCTTTGCTGAAGCTAAAGGTGGTCTGTTAAGACCCGCATTTATAATATCCTGGCTGGAACCCTTTGCATTCTTAGGGACAGGCTTGAGGTTCTTGGCTGAAAAAGGCGCTGTCTTCTGCTCTCCACTCTCAGGACTCTGCAATGCTTTTCGATCTTTTGTGTCGCAGCCTCCTGCTCCATGTTGTTGTTGTTGTTGTTGTCGTTTCCTTTGGGCAGCTTTGAACAAAGCTTGGGGATCAAAATGAGCAGCTTTTGGAGCTGAAGGCTGAAATGAACTTGCTTTCACAGGTTTATGCAGTTCTTCCTCTTTATCTTGCGAGGATCTCTTCCTAAACTGCGATGGAGGGGAGAGAGAGGGGGCTGTAGCTTTTACCCATGCAGTTGTATTTTCTGGTCCACCAGAATGCATATCAGCTTTATGCACAGAAGGCTGAATCACAGTTGGCTTTGCTTGTCTCTGCTTTTCATCATCATCATCATCCTTTGAAGCAAGGGTTGGAGAAGACACCTTAGCTATGACCTTGGCTGTTTTATATTGAGGTCTAACAGTATGTTGCGTTTTAGCTTTGGAAGGGTAATGGACTAGGTTGGGATTATCAGGCTTTGCATGCTCATGAGTTTCCATAAGATTCATATCAGCAGGAGGATGGGGAAGCTTTGCCTTCATCACAGGTTTCGGCTCTCTCTCTTTCTGTTGTATTTCTTTGGAAGCATGAGAGGAAGGGGGAATCTCAACGTTTACCTGAACTGTTGTTGCATAGAGTGATTTCGCATGCGTATTAATTTCTGGATGTTCCGCTTTAGGTTCTGACATTCCTTTCTTTTTAGCTGGATTCAAAATTTCACCAAGACTCCTCTTCTTTGTCATGTTAAGACCAGTATGACCATGGCTACCACCATGTTCCCATGATGCATCACCTGCGCCACCTTTGATACTTTTGGAACTCAAAGCACCAACAACTGCTCCACTACTTTTATCCTGTGCTGTTGCAATCTTTCCAGTCTCTAGCAGTGGGTTGGCATCCACCTATTGGGAAAAGTTTTTGTAGTGTTCAAATGTGAGGGCAGTGTTCCTCAAGTCTCCATATATTCACACATGTATTCATAATGCCATGTCTGCAGTGATCCCAAGCCAAGTGATCTCCATATAATTTCCACACAAACAGTGATACATACTACTTCCCACAGGATTATCTGATTGAATATATGTAATATGCCGTTTTAAACTGTGTATGAAGGAATTAAGTAGATGGGCCTAGACGCAGTATTATTAGGGAAGCAGATATCAATGTCAGCATCAGTGGGCAGAAACAAGATTTAATATATGCGTGCATAAATTGTGCAGTTTTAAGTTGTTACAATATTTTCAAGAAATAAATATTTTTTTAATTAAAAAAGCATAGATTCCAGGTGATTATTATCTGACAGCGCAATATTTTGATTGAGAGTATTACACTCAAGTCTAAGAGTACCAAAAACATGACCAACATACCTTTGTATTTATTTTTAAACGACGTGTTGACCGACACTAAGTTCTTCCAACAAGCCCCCCTCTCCCTGCTCTGTTTAGTGTTTAGCAATATGAGACTTTGGTGACTGTCTCTTACATAGATTCATAAAAATTTCTGAACAGTTTAACAATTCAGTCTCTAAAAATTGACAATTATGTCACTGTACAAACATAAAACACATATAGCATCAGCCTAGAAGAAGCATGTTTCACTGTTTGTGTTTTAAGTAGGCTAAGCTCTATATGTCCTTAGACACAATGCAGTCTGATGAAAAAGCTACAGTGCATATTGTGGGGAAGATCATGATAGCCCAGTGCTTAGTGGCAGAGAAAGAGCAGGCTGCTGCTATACAAGTTGGATCTCTAATCAAGATGGCTGCATATTCGCTCTTTTTTTCTATTGGTCAGACAGATTACCTCTAGCACCAATCACAGAGAATTTACCCAAATGACCTTTATAAATTTACCTTCGAAACCAATGTATATACAGCATTTTACCACAAGTTACTTGATGGTATATACTCTTAGTAATAAATACCATTAGAAGGCCAGTTTCAAAGACAACAATCTCCCACATATACTCCCTGAGGTACATGCAGGGTCTGTGATTCACCACCACCGCCATGTTGAAATCCGTTCTCCAGCAGGCAGAAAAACATGTGGCAGAAAAATAGACATGAAATTGAAATAAGATAGACGAAAATGTACATGCAAAGATACCCTCAGCCAGGCAGCAATGTTATTTTGTAAAAAAAAATTACAAAAATACACAATACAAAACACCATAACTGCTTTTATTGCAAATTTTGAATGGTTTATCAGTGAAATAGCCAAGCAAGGTGGTGTTTTTTAATCAAAGGAGACATTCAATTTTAAAAATACATAAATTTGAGCTCTGCAAAGCTAATTTCATTTCTTGCAGATACATATGAAGCACACACTTTCATGCTTAAATATAAATGAAGAGAGGATCACACATGCTGGACAGAAATGGATTGTTTAAATATCTTGATGATGCAAGGTTTAACTTCAGTTGGGAAAATGCAATAAAACTGAATAATGTATAATACCGGAATCCCAAACAGCTTTGACCACAAACAACACAAGGCATGAATAAGTAATTTTCCTAGTCATAAAGCAATCAAATCACACCCAAGCTCTTCTCTACTTCATGTCTACTTTATGGCATTATTGATGTTGGTTTATGTTATAAGATAAAGAATGTCAGAGTCTATTACCTGCTGTTTGCTTTTCTTGTCAAATGTGATCCGTTTTGGACTCTGAAGTGGAGAAGATGGCGCAGCAGAATGACGCTTTATTGGAGCCTTCACGTCCGGGCCACCAACTGAACAAGAAATATAGAAATTAAGCAATATTCTTATACAGTAGGGCTATTTTACTTTCTTGTAAATGTGCTCACAGCAACAATATAATAGCAATATTATTTACTTTTCATAACTTTTTAAATCTCTGACATAAAACTTCTTTTATTTTAAAAACAAAGCATTCTTTTTTATAATGTTATATTAACAAAATCCAAACACATTTGTTATCTGTCACTTACTCCAAATTTTAATTTTTGATTAAAATAAAATAAATATTAAAATATTGGTTCAGGACAAGCAGAAGAGTGCAACTGAAGTATTTAAACAATGGAATGCCATCCAACTTTATGCCATCAGTATAACCAGCATGATAATATCAAGTTTCTTTCAAAACACACCAAGAACAATCTTTATACGAATCTATAAATACTTCTAAATTTCCATCTAAGCTTTTTTTGTGTGGGCCAAATACCTTTCACATTATTCTTTAAATAGTGCCAATTAAAGAGACTATATCTAATCAAAAAGACTATATTTAAGTCTGGCAGAGGCGTCAAGAGCTAACAGCAAAAGAGTTTTAATAAGAATATATACCCCCCCCCCTCCCACCATATAACCCCCCTCCCAGAAAGAGACAAAATAGTTGTGGTCTTAGTGTCATTGCTCTGTGGTATTCCTGTATTTCCCTAAAACCCTAGTTTATTTTATATTACCCATTGGAATGTGCCAAATGTTTACTAGTACAGAAAAATTAAACATGAATTTTCAGATAAAACTTGTTCAGAGCAAATCACCATATCCAATACATATTTTGGTTGAAAAATTAATTCAAGAAAGAAGTTGTAGTTATATACTTCTATTTGAAAAATAAAAATAAATGAATTGTAGCTAGCACACTTCATAGCTTAACAACAACAACAAAAAGCATTCCAAATTATATTTGCCTTGAAAAGAGAAAACTGAGTTTCGCTATGTAAATTGTCCTTTTGAAGGACTATTATAATTATACTAAAATTCTAGGCAACCATAGCACTTCTTTTGTATTGAAGAGAAACAATATCCAAGATGGGAGATATCAAGCATCTGTTTTGCTATGATAAGATTCTAGGCGCCTCACCCTGACTAAGCTCAAAGTGTTCAACAACAGTCTAAACCCTCTTATGGTTTTAAAAACTCAAGGATTGGTTTTTGGCTATGCACACATTTAAGTTAAACTAATTTGTATTCAAGCCCATGTCTCTGTCTGTGTCCTGTTTGAATAAAAACTAATCTATCATGAAACTGATATGAGAGAAAAAGTATATAAGTTAAAGTCCTTATGCTGTTCACTTTAATGAACTGCCCTTGATTTTCCCTCAAGACATATCATTATGACAAATAAATGGAGGCCAGCAAGACTATGAAATATGGCAAATTGTTACAAATGGGGTCGTTTCTATTGTTTTGTATTGTACCACTGCAGGAGTGTTAAAGCCAGAGTGCTACCAGTGATACATTCCCACCTTATATCAATCTCAACATGCCACACTAATACTTATATACATGCGTATTATGTCTGCCTTATCAGTGGATTTGACCATCAAGATATATGAGAAATAGGTGGTTCTGTATCCACGATATTTTAAGTGAACGGAGGAACATCTTTATAAATCTTTGGCTCCAAGAGAGAAAGAAAAAGAAGAAACAGAGAAGATTTGTAGGCAACCCATTTACTGGTCAATGTCTAGATTTTAGTGTGCGAGTGTGTGCATGTATATGTGTACACATGCATGTACAGGCTGATATCAGCATATTATAGATGGAGAGTGCTACCATATATATTATCAATCTTATCCACACTACTTGTTGTCTCATGCATGAAATACATCAGAAAATTCAGTCCACAGATTAGATCATCCATATGACAGTAGAGACAGATTATGTATCTTAGACTGGCTGGCCTCCATGTATGAACTTTCTCTGCTCTGGGCAAAGTTATCACCTTCACAGCTATATGTCTTCATTTAACCATAAATATATATATATATATACAATGCCAGTTTAGGGATGAGTTAGTTTGTTGCCTTATGAATACAAATGGAGTATTTGGCCCCAATGCTCCCTGCTCCACATACATACTCGGAAATGGACCATATTTGGAGCTGCTGACAAGCTGTCTTCAAGTTTTTTTTTCACAAGACACTTTACCAAATAAGTATCAATGATGCCTTTTCTTTTACTCATCTGCTAAGCAGGGCCAATTACCTTTACCTGACCACACTTATGTCAGAAATGCCGCAATTTGTCCATTAATAGCAGTTTAGAACATGACATTCCAAACTAAACTCTATTCATTTATTTGACTAATATAATGAAACTATCATTCTACATAGATTGACTCCCAACTCCTCGGGGACTTTTGTTGAATACAATGAAGATGCCTCCTCCTGGCATTGAGTAAAATACAGAAACACTGGCGATTGTACCAGTATGTTAGAAACAAACGGAGGGGGGGGGGGAGGGGGGAGGTGTTAATCAGTTAATCTGACTGTATTCAGCGAAAGTGCCCACAGAATTGGAATAATCTACCTAGAATGCTAGTTTCATAGGGAATGAGCCCTTAATGCTTTCCTGTGCTCATGACTTTAACTATGTGAGTAAAACTTATCATGTATGTATGGGGAAAATTCCTACTAATCTCATTATATTTTCCACTAATCTATAGACTAGACAGAAAAAGGTCCACTTAAATGCATGGTTGACAATTATTAATCTCATTACTCCCTGCTTTAATTTCTTCCTCCCAGACAACACTTAACCCTGTCTGTAGTACTTAATGATTAACAATGAAGCTGTATGAAAGTTGGTTGCCATGTGATAAGATTACACAAATCACTTAATGCAACCCCTATAGCTCGATGTGTTATCAGAAAACAGGAGAAAAACTTCCTGAACTTAAATTGGGCTTATCATATTGTCACCTGCATGAAATATATAGCACATGAAGAGTGCCACATAAGGGCATAAATCTCGGACAACGTTACTTCATGTGCGAAATATTTTTTTAACCAATTAACTGTGTCATGTCTAGCCAAGTCCACCAAGTAGTCCACTTTATTTCCGTGGACTGCTTCAGATTTTACATTAAATTAAGTAGAAGAAAATTTTCAGTCAAAATCAAGTTTTGGTCTTCATTTTATTTTTGGGGAAAATATAGACCAAGGGGAAACACCATATGTCCATATTAACCTACCTGGTATCATGTCCTTGAAGTAGTTATATAACTGAGCCACATAGGTGGTAATACTGAGTTTATCTGGGACTTCCAGGGCCACCATATCCTCTGCATCCAGCAGAGCAGGGACACCCAGCTCCACCTGAGCCACTTCAAAGGCCTGAAATTTAAGATAAACCTTGATATACAATTATCATTTGATTTCTGAAAAGTGTTACTACTAGTACTGAGCATCTATTTATCTTAGTTATTATTTTCACCATAATAGTTTGGTGACTGACTTGTAATGCCTGCCTTCCATTTGCAATATATCATGGCAGCCATAATGCAGTGAATATATACAAATATAGGTAAAGAGGTTGAAAAATGTTAATATGATACAAATTTAGTGCTCAATAAAACTCTTATTATCATGGTTTTGTATTTTTCGAAAGAATATATGTATTTTAATGGGAGCTCACTCTAGAATAACGTCTCTTTTAGCCTTTTAGAAAAATCAGAAACTTGGACTAATGATAAATGATGAAATTGTTGAAAAGTGCTACATTTTCCATGGTCATATCAGACTATGTTAACAGTTTAGTTAAATTTTACTGTGCCACCATGGGCAAGGACTTAAAATTATAAATGTTCACATCTAGACAGGTGAAGAAATTATAGAAACCTTGTATATTCATTGTCTAAATTTGATATGGCACACAATAATGCTATTTAAACATTGTAAACACATTCTTTCAAATGTTCGTCCAGGAATACATGAGTACATACATCAAAACAAAATATTATCTTATCTACATCTTGAATGGTCACACATAAATTAACATATTTTAAACAACATGTAGAAGTGAAATAAGCATGATTTAAATGTGACCTACATGACCACTTTGTTTTTATTTCACTATGTTTTTTCAAACACGAACTTTGTGACTAAAACGTTATCATGGAGTAGACTTTAAAAAGTTCTACATTTCATAATACCACACACACAGACACATTTAAATGTACATTAGATTAATGTGACAAATGTCTTTATGGCCTGTCTTGATTGCTTGACATAAATCTCCCAATAAAATAAGTCTGGGATCCCTTTAGCATACTCAATATGCATCAAATGCTAAACAATTTATTAAGGTAGATTTTATGGGAAGCAGAAATTACCTGGCAAAAAGTATTTTGAATACTTTTTGTCAAATCAAAAATTTGTACAGTACTAAATCAAGAGTAGATTTCAAGAAAAAGGCTAAAATGGTGAGACCATCTAAAGTTTATATATTATGTTAACCCAAGCAACCAGCCATCTCCATGATGTGGGACAAAAACCATAGTTGGATGAATTACATGGTTATGAAATTAAAGCAACATTATTTCAATCACAAACCAGAGCAAGAATGTGCTGTTTGGATAAACAATCAAACAAATAACTCAGGTATGCGATAAAAAGAGTTATGGGTTTCACTTTACTTCTAGCGTATTAATAATATTTACAAAAACTAATGATAGGGTATAGGCCCATTCTTAATGCTTTGTTTGCAGATCATTGATTTCTTTGACAAGTCATACAGCCGAAAGTCAACAGGTTTTGAGGTACAAGGACAAATAATCTTAAAATGAAATCTGTCTCTGGTTCACAGAATGCCAAAATATGTCCCCTTGTCTAAACATCACAGATGAGTAATTCAGGTATGTTACTGTAAAGAGACACCAGTAGAATAAAAGGTGTGCTTAGAGAAAAAAATAAATATTCAGGACAAATCATGCAGGCATTCCACAATTCTCCAGCATGAATAAAATATGACAGACATCCTATTATCTGAGGTTCCAAGAGAAATTAATCGAGAATGTGCAATCAACATTCTGTGAATGTGATCAAAATTTAATGACTATCAATCAGCAGAAATGTTACATATTCACAAAAGTATGCATCTTTGCTATTCTTATTGTGTCTTTCTCATATCTAATTTGATGAGCAGATTAACCAAAATTGGAGGGGGGGGGGGTAGATTTCAATATAAATGGACTATTTTTTTAAATATACTTCCAGTCTGTGTTAGATGCACTTTCATTTGAAAAGAAAAAGCAGACCCTACACAACTCTATATATTTTTTCCTCTGTGAACTTAATACTATGAAGTATATCCTGAAATTAATTAGCACAGGTCTTTGTAATTATCATATTTAATTACATGCCCAAACTTGAAAACCATGATAAAAATGACATAGAAGTAAAAAATTTGAATAACCTTGACATTCTTTCACCAATCCACCCAGTCTCTACGAATTGAATTACTAAAGATAAATCCAACCTTGATGAGGAAACTAAATTAAGTCTTATAATATATTCATAATATATTCATGCAGGTAGTCAAAGCATTTACAACCATTTCATTGCTTGTCTCAGAGTTGAGCAAGATTTAACAAATGATGATATAACAAGGATTCAACATAATAATCTTAAAATATCTGACTATTTTTTCAAGTAAATTTGTACTTTACCAGTGAATTATTTTCATAAACATTCTCCTTTGACAAGGCATCAAAGTCTCTGAAAGAGGAAAAAGAAAGATTTGTCACATATGAAGAAATCATCTCATCTTCTCATCTCATCTCTTTATCAAGACCATGAAGTAAGATTACATATGAATTAATGTTTCACATAACTGCACATGTATATTCTCTGTTACTGCTCAGAAAAATGTATTGAGTACTCTGATTCAAAATGTAAGACACCTAAATATGGTTGCGAGTAAATTTTACCAAATGATCAACTCAGAGTCAAATGTCTTTTTCTCTAGTTTGAAAAAGACAAAAAGTTCTAGAAGAGCAAAAAATAACTTCTAACATCTTTAAAAGACCATGTTTCATTCTTGTTCACATAAAAAATAAATTTTGAAAAAAAAATCAAAAACAATATTCTCATCTTACATCAAGTCTGGTCTATATCTGTGAATAATAGCACAGAAAGCGAGCCCATTCCTCCAAGACTTGCTCATATCGCAGACATGGACGTCTTTGTAGCCGTCTGTTCTGACTTGAGCCCATTTCTGGAGGGCTCTCATCCCCCTCAGCCCTGCCATTATGAACTCTGCTCAGGTGATCAGATCAAAGCTGAAAAACAGAAAACATCAAGCTAAATATTCTACTACAAAGACTGAGATATGGGTAGGAGGTAGACGAGACACTGCATTACATTTTCAACTGGTTTAAATTAAGCGTTACACTTCAACGAAATATTGAATTTTTCAACATTACAGCTTTTTCTGTAGCCACTTATTTAGTAACCTGACAGAATCACTATTTATCGAGGCCATAATCCCAAATGATATTATCTCTTTGGTCAGTTTCACAAGTATAAAAGGACTTTACACAGAAAGTTGGTCTTAATTTCAGACTAAAATTAGCACTAGACCTGGATTGATTGAAGGTAAGACGAGTGTTCTCTATTTAAATAAAACACTGTGCCTGTTTTATAACAAGAAAGAAGTGGCTACTTCCTTAATTAGACCAATACTACCCTCATGCAGATTTATCATGTATTGAACAGACCAAAACTTTAATCTAACAGTTAAGACCTGACCAACTTCTAGTTTACAGTTCTTTTGCATATATTCAGTCCCTGCTGTGTACTTATACTATCCCATCATTTCAATAAGATAATTTCAGCAGGGATGCAAAGCCTACCCAAATCATAGTAATTTGGCACAGCATCATGAATTAATTGTGAAAACACAGCAATCAACTCTAGCTACGCGAATTAACTGTACAATCATCCTTTGCTTTCTGACATAATGTGTCCTTTTCATCAAGTAAATTGAATTATTTCTGTTGAACATTAATCAAGAAGAGTGCAACATGTTATGACAGAAATCCTTCAATAATTATATTACAGAGTAAAATGAGTGCTTAATGCTTAAGGTAAAAATGATTAATAGTTCCCCAGAAGGGACATGTTATCTAATCGTCATTTAGGTAATTTTATCCTCATATATCATTACCATATAACTGCCCCATATTATACTACTTGCAAAATGTTTCATCCCTAAAAGGCAGCTCAGCAAATAGTTATATATTATGTTGTAGATATTGAGAACTCCCCTTGATCAAAAGCAAAATAAAAACTTTTTTGTTTTGTAATTAATTTACACATTTATACTAGTGTCCCACATGCTTATACATTATCTCTTGCACTGGTTTTGTTTCTGTAACAGAATACATCCAGTAGTAGAAATAATAACCCCCACCTTTTGTAAATGTATATAATATTTGTTAAACTTGCATAAAGTAAACATGCAGAGGTTTCACTAATTTGTCATATAAAATTTTAATGGATAAAAGTAGTATATATTGCCCAGACAATACTGTGGTCAAATAAAAGAACAAAAAAATTATGACATCTAAACAGATTAAAAAAGGGGGCAACAAAACAAAGATAAATATAACTCACACTTATAAAATGTTCCATCTTTCCTAAAATAAATGTCCCTATATGGCATGGCTCTGTGGTAATACAGTATCCAGTGACAGACTAGTACAGTTGTAAGTATCAGAATATAGGAAATATTTCAGGAGCCAAGAGGCACCCAATGTTTCCACTTCTACAACCCACTCAATGTGTGGGATGGGGTTGGGTTTCAGTGGCTTTCTTTAAAACCAATCTTATAAATGACTCACGGTGGTATGAGAAGAATTTGAAATTTACAAAACAATAAAAGACGAGAAATTTTGCCTACGCAACAGGGAACAAATATACCTGAATTGTGTCTTAGTGCTATAAGATATAATCTGATGTCATGTGCCTCTGCATCAATTTTAGTTTTCGTAAAGCACTAAAATCACTGAAATTCGGAGTGGTGACACTGCTATATATAGGCGCTGCGCCACGACCAGATATCAACAACAAATCTCAAGAGTACATTTCCGCATTTTTTTGTGCTCGCAACTAAAGTTTCGTTTTTGAAAAATGCCCCTCAATCACATAACCCAGAAAAGTGATCTGAGAAGAAAGTTATCCTCACAAAAGAGTACCTACCTCTTAATCATTTCAGCTGCGTTTCAGTGCTTCTAATGTAAGCGCCGAAATAACCACCTGTTTTGACCTAGATATTACAGTACAGGAAGCCAAGCCACTGAACATGCGTACTAAGAGCAATGTAGTGGAGATGTTCAAACCTGATATTTTACTCCTCTTACTAACGCTCTTATTTATTCTTTATTGCAAATTTATGCGTTATGCATATACGGTACTTTTAGTTCCAAGTTATTAAATGTCCTGAATCAGCGGTCTTGAATGTAGACTAAGCTTACTATGAAAGCCGCTATGAAAGCATTACCAGATACACAAGACAAGCCGACGTTTAACCTGTCTTTATAACGTTGTACATTTGGATTAAATTGACATTCAATAATACCCCAATCTAAGTAACCTCAAATCAAATTATATTTTCATTTCATTTCATTCAGTTCAATTTTTATAATAGGTTAAGATTAGTTCGTCTTCCGCCGGCCATGACACCTACACCTGTTTAGAGTGGCGGCAAATAGGTTTTGTTAATAACGTAAATAGAAATGTTAATTGATGTTCTTAAAACCTGTTATTATTCTTGAATTAATGAGAAAGCTTCAGTCTGTGCAAAAAATTTATAAGCAAATCTGAGGATGACTTCTTGTAAGTATAGCGGTACAGTAATTCCCATCTTTTAGTGATTTAACTTTAAGTTTACAACTTGACCCAGCTTAACTGTATCCAATCTTCATTTCCAGTGCCATTGCATTCCCTAAAAACGTTAAGTGTGACTAATAATGCAGTTAATGTCATTACAAACCAAATTTTGCTCCGATACTTGCTTTTTTATGTTTAATTTTTTTAGTAATATTTTATTTATTTTTGCATAGCAACACCCTATGCATGTATACAGAAAGTCTTCAAATGCATATTATAGACACATTTTGCAATAGTTAGCACAAAAACACATGTGTTAGCACTGATAATAATGTTTTCTGATACTGTGTATGTTAATGCATGAAAGAGGTGCACATAACTGTAAAATAACAGTCAGGTGGCACATCCACGTGCAGGGAAACATGAGCTCTCAAAACTTTTGCATACCTCTCACCTCATCAAGGTGCACACCTATAAATACTGGTGGGTATTTATAGATTAATGTGGCATGAATACCAGCTTGAACAGACTTGTGAATGGGAAAAGTACACCAGGGTTTGATTCCCCCGTGGATGTAACCTCTGATTGCAATGTTACTTACTAAGTATTATTGATTTTATGATTACCCTTTCAGTGTGGCAACATCCCTATGTGAATGTATTCAAGCATTTCAATGTGTCAGAATGGAAGAAATCAACCAAGGAAGGAGAAGTGGTCACTGTTATGGTAATGTTATGGCTGAGTGAAAGTATTTAAATTTTACCATTCATGTAAAGGAACTCTCATAAGTCATGGAATTCAGATAGACCACGTGTTTACAAGAACAGTACAAGCCCCCCCCCCCCAACTCAAAGACACCCTAGGGATTTTTAGCAGCTTATTGATATATTTATTTTTTAAAGAGTGGCAGTTATCAACAATTTTGATTTTGCTACATGTATTTTTTTTTTTATATATGCTGGATTACAGAATACAGTAAATGTGTACTAGTTGTAATTTTGTTTCAAACAAACAAGTTGAGGTGATGCCCTTATTTAATTTTGAATGTAAATTAAAGTGTAAACACATGTGTTGACACTTTCTGTATTTTTAAAATTACACAACAGGACAAGACCATCAAATGCACTGTATACAGGATCACAGGCTCAATTCCAGCCAGCAACTACATCCAGCTTCCAAAGACATCCACACAGTCCTTGGGTCTGACAGGGAGATACATGTACCTCTTATTCAAGCCCATTCCATCCAAATACTTTGTGGTTCACATTGACGTCGCCACACAAGATGCCCTGGTGGTGAGGATATCATTCTCTAACCTATTCAAGGAGTTTAAGGCCACCTCCACCTGGCTCCAGTTCCCATTTGTTTGCACTGCCACCAAGGGTTCAATACATGCCCAGACTGCAGTAGGTACCAAAGACAGAGGTAAGACAGTTTACTAAATATTTAGTGATATTAGCTGACCTTTCCTGTTTGTTTGTTTGTTTGTTTGTTTGTTTGTTTGTTTGTTTGTTTGTTTAAGTGCATGTGGGGGAATTTACAGTGTTAAAGTAACAGAAGGTTGTACCCAAAACCTATTAATTGTCACTGAAATCTGGTATTAACTTTTTAAGTATATGATAGGGTCATTTGGTTTCTCCAGTTTCTATAGTAGAATCCTAAGAGCAACAGCTTATTTCAGAGTAATTAACACTTTATAGTTTTACTAGAATAACCTATTTGAAGTACTACATGTATTATACAACTGATGATATTGTTCTGGACAACTGGCTTGTGATTTCCAAATATTTCAGACAAGAGTGGTCCAGCGCCAATGTCGTCCAGGTGGACAATGCTGTGCCTGGACCTGCAGTATGTGTTGTCCATCTACCTGAACAGAAGATACTCCTACATTAAGTCTATAAAACTGTGTGCAAATATGCTGGTGAAAAATATATTCACAAGTGATTCGGAATACCAGCCAGGTATGACGTGTGTGTGTGTGTATTAGTTGTATCCTTTGTGTGTGTTATTTTTTTGGAATTTTTTTGAAATATTAGTTGTATGGCTTAAAAGTAAACAGATGTGCGTTAGACCTTAATATAGCAAAAATTGAATTTTTTCTGTCAATTTCAATTCTGATTTCCAGATATTATGATTGTTTTTTAGGTCTTACACTAGATGAAGCCAAGAGAACTGGTTTGATGTTACAAGGAATAAATCCAGTACCCAGGGAAATGGCCTTTCTTTTACCTAGAGGACGCAACTGGCACGACCTGTATGACATCATTAGGTAGCAAGAATTTTGGGCATACACTAACCATAGGAATTTTAGCCAGTTGCTTAACATTTTCATATTTGACAAAGAAATAATGTAAAATGATTTAATGTCTTTAGCCAAATATGTTATTTATTTAAGATTTGATTTGTATTTGTTGAAGATTCTTAATTGCATTGTTTGAAAATGTTGCATCTTTTAATTTAAAGGCAGTGAAGGTAGTCTTAACTTTATATTCAAATTCTTGTCACTTGCTAATATCCTTGAGAGCTAAAGCCACCATTCTTTAATATTTTTTTTGCAGATTTCCCACAGACAGCAGCAAGGAGCCATTTGATTTACTACAGCTTAAGTCCAGCCCCCCTGTTACTCAAAATGGCAAGTTTCAAGGCAGAGTGGGGCAAATACCTCACACAAATAAATCGATTCTGACTGCATTTTCATCAATATTGTTACTAGTCCTACAGTTAACCACGTTTCTCTGTTCCTTAGAAAATTTTGAAATGTGCTGATTCCTTCATTATGTTACAAAAATTAAGTTCCTACAATGCTAAATATCCAAAATATTAAAATATCTAATTAATGAATCTCTGTTTATTATTTGCCTTAGTTTAACTTTGGTTTCACAATTTTGTCTTGTTATTTATGCTTTTACAAGAATTGTTTAATTGATTATTATCAGTATAATTTCTTATGTCTTTACTGTCAGGTGAGTTGTTGTTTTACCTGTTATTTGTCCCCAGGTCCCCCAGGTGTGATCAGTCCAAGGAGGTCATCCCCCAGACAGGTAGAGGTCAGGAGGCCATTCTCAGGTACTCACGGCTCTGCCATAGACAACCTTACTAGGAGAGACAAGGTAACCACACTGATATTGATGATTATTTAATATATTATTATTTAATATATTATTATTTAATATATTATTATTTAATATATTATTATTTAATATATTATTATCATGCATTTCTTTATATGCCTTGTGACTAATTGTTTGACAGCAATAACATATTCCATATTTTTTATTTGTAGAATTATCCCTGAATATTATATACATTTTGTTTACTAATTCCAAAGTAATAGCATAATTAACCTAATCGTAATTTGCCATTTTTCCAGCCTCCATCAAAGAAAGTTCACGTGTCTGCTTCACTGCCAGAGTTTGGGACAGACAGCACCACCAGCATCATCCCAGAGGAGAATGGAGTACATGTGTATGCTCATCCAAAGAGCAGAGTCAGCTTACACAGAGATGGTGCAGAACAGGAGGTAGAAAATGGAACAGGGCACTGTTTTATAAAAAAAGAATAATTATGAAGTCACAATTGGTCTTAGTTAAGACTGCTTAGAATTTCAACTGATTTTCATGTAGTAATTTTTTTCCCCAAGTCATTCTTGCCATACATATGTCAAAATGTTAAAATTTGACAGATTGGTGATAAATATGATACATGCATTTGGACACATTTTGATTTGTTGTTACACCCAATTACAGGAACCAATACAAGCAGGGACCCGCCCACTAGGTCTTTTGCCAAAGGAACCAAAGTATAAGGTAATGTGGATGGCCTGTTTAGAGGCAGTTCTTTCATTTGCCTTCTCTGTCCATGCAAAAGTAACTATGCAACTTCACTTACCAATGATTGGTTAAGTTAGTATATGTTTCCATTTTTTATGCCTAAATGTAACTTTTTTTACCAAGGGCAAAATATGATTAAGTTATATGACTGTTTAAAAATCTGTAACAATGATTGTAGATGCAAGAAAACCTAAAATATATGATTATTTCTTCATAAAACAACAAATTTATTCTCTGTTTTGTGATGTGTCTTTCAGAGTTTGAAGCCTGATCCTATTTTAAACTTGAGAAGACTGGTTGGATTTGGAGGAGGCACCTGCAGAGATGTGAGTTGTATATCTGAAATATTAGGTATTATTGTGTCTTGGAAACTTGCAGTTAAATATTCCTTATGTTATTTTGTATTTCATTCTGATGAGTGGTAGGGATAAAGGGTGATTTGAAGGTTGTAAGATAAGGATTAGGTTTGTTGCACATATCAGAAACTTCTGATCATATGTTTTTATGTTACTTGGTGATGTCAGTAAAAAGAAAGACTAGTTAATATAGTATTTTTATAGTTTAAGTTTCATTTTGATTTAATTTATTGCAACCTATATGATTTTATTTTTATTGTATAAGAACAGCTCTAAGACGTAAGTTTAATGCTATTTTTAAGAATGAATTCTATTACTAATATTATTCTAATTATTTTATTATAAGCATCGCCTTCCTTTGTTACTATTATTATTATTATTATTATTATTATTATTATTCCCTTAGGCCCTGTGGACCAGTAATGGCATCACCCTGGTCTACCCCTGCCATGCTGTCATAGTAGCCATGAATGCCAAGAATGGACATCAGAGGTTCTTCATTGGACACACGAACAAGGTGCAGAGCTGTATACTGTGTTGATTCTGAGAGTATTGGTTTGGAAATTGGGAGAGTGTTATGTAACTTTTGAAACTATCGTTATGTACATTGAGGTGAAATCTGTGATATTTGACAATGTCACAACTGTTTTTCAATAAATTTTGGAAAAACCTTTGTTAACACTCATAAATATGCAGTTATGTCAATTTTAAGGAAAATTATTCTTCTGAATTGAAATTAACTGAATTAAATTTAATTTCCCCTCAAGGACTATTTAAATAATAATAATTGCCCTAACTTTGAATTAATTTCAGTTTGATCATTCTGTATTTGTTTGTGGTATAATATATTGAATGCAAGCAATTTCTATATTCATAATACTAATAAATTTTAAACCTACATACCTCAGGTGTCCAGTTTGGCCCTCAATGGCAATTCCACCCTTCTAGCCAGCGGTCAGACAGGTCAGCAAAGCGTGGTCCGAGTATGGAGGTTTCAGACTGGAGAGTGTCTGGCAATGTTTAAAACACATGTCCATTCTCTGCACTGTCTCAGGTGAGTTGTGGGTGTGACAAGATTGTTAAGTAACAGTACATGTGTATTCTTATACTCAGCCTAAGTTCATGTTCACACAGCTTTTTTTTTTTTTTTGCTGCTGCAATTTTGTACGCGTCCTGCACAATTTTGTATACAGTGATAATTTGCTTTGGTAAGTTATTTGCTACAATGGTTCATGGTTCCAAGGATTGCATATACAGATTAATATTGAAGTGAAACAGCTATGTTTTGCTCTTGTCTCAAGGGCATCATCAGGCTGAATACCCACACATTGTGTGTTGGTGATCTGTTTCACTACTATAGCTGTTTTACAAATATTTTTGTTCCAAACTAAGTGATTAATAACACTAAAATATCAGGAAAAATTGTGATGTTATTTCACTTCACTAACACCAAACTGTTTAAGTGATTTTTAAAGATTATTTTGTAAATAGTAAATAGTGCTCTCGTCCAAAGATTATTGAAAAAATGTCAGATCTGTGCAGCCTGCATGATGGTCCATTTCTCGTTGTAGCTTTTCCCACAGTGGAGGTGTGTTGTGTGGAGTGGGAAGAGATGGACATGGAAAGACAGTGAGTACAGTTTACAATTTGATGAAGAACATTTCCCAGCTTAAAGTCCTACTGGGGATATTGGGAAGAGATGGTTGTTAAATTTTGAAAGGGAAGTTTACATAAAGAGCTCTGTGATTGAAGGAGGGTTGGAAAATAGATGATTTTGCAAACATTGAGGTATTTGAAATATGTGGAGTGATTGAGTTTATTGGAATTAGATTTAGAAAAGAAAAGTTATTGTGAACTTAGTAATATGCGATTTCAAGAAAAAAATGCTTTTCAGCAAAAGCAAGAAATATGTATCTAGTAATTCAATATATGTCGGTGCAGAAGAAGAATTGAAATTACTTCTATAGCACACCTTTCCACATTTGTAGATGGTAGTAATCTGGAACATGTCCTGCGTGAACCGTGGTGGTGAGGTAGCTGTCATGGCCAAGGCACACTCAGATGTGGACATAGTCAGGATGAGGATTGCCGCTTTTGATGACACTAGGTTTGCTCTCTCTGCTGAGTTTTACAAAAATCAAACTTAAAGTTGATCTTAATTTTTAAGACCAAACCAGAGTGTCTTTTCAACTTTAAAGTTTGCTCTCTCTGCTGAGTTAAAAAAAAATCAAACTTAAAGTTGATCTTAATTTTTCATTCAGGTAATTGGTACTTATTCTAATCCACAATCAACATTAAAAAAAAAAAGAAAAAAAGCATTGAGAATGTGCACAGATATTTCCATTTCCTAAAACAAATTCAACTAAAGAATTTGACCAAAAACGTCCTGGTCAGGGAGCAAATTTATGTAGACAAGTTGAAATTTTATGGTTGATTTCCTATTTTCCACTTAAATGACAACGGTGTAGTTACCATGATGGTTTCAGGATGGTTTCCTGTGGTCGAGACAATGTTCGCCTATGGCGCGTAAAAGATGGCGCTCTGCGATCTGCTCCAGTCAACCTCGCTGAGTACCACACTATGGAGTTCACAGACGTGACTTTTGAGGCAGGATTTGAGCCACAGAAGGACCCGGTGGACAGATTAGTGTGAGTGTGGTGCAAGGTCCATTAAGTGATCTGCTTTCATAATATAAAATGAAAATGAATTTGGTATGGTGAATAGAATACTAAAAATTATTTGCACATGAATTATGTAGCTCATGTGCAGGTGGTTAACTGTATTAAGTATTTTCTTGATATGATTATAGATTTTTTGAACATAGAGTTGTATGTGCTTTTTTGGTCACTGATTCTTTCTTTTTTTTTATATCTATTTATTTGTTGGTGCGTTTTTTTAAACTAAACAGTGATAAAAGGTAAATTTATAAATCTTTTTCTGAACTAAATCTGTTATACGATGATGATTATATGACTATGATTTTGATTCATTCTTATTGCCAGAGGTAATGTTAAAAAATAATTGTGTAAGACTTTAAAAAAATATTCATAGACTTAGGTCATAATTCACATTTATTTATTTCACATTTATTTATTTCATTGTTTAAAGTTACGCCTGTAGTAGATCAGGTCACATCTTTGAGATTGACTACCAGAAAATGGCCATTCATCATGTGCGTAGGCTAAAACCCAATGACCCCAGAACCAGCAGCAGAGACAAACAGACCTTCAGTTCAGGTAAGTGTGTAACAGTGTGTTGTCTCAGGTAACTGTGTACCTTTATGTTGTCACAGGTAAATGTATTATTTGACATAATACAGAGAACAAGTGCAAATACTTAATATTTTAAGTGTTTGTCCTTCTCTGAATTTCACTTCCTAATTAATTATACTCCCTCAGTATATTTGAGTCTCAAACCAACAATTTGTGTAAGGCCTAGCTGCTGAGGTTGAAAAGGGTTTAGTTACACACATATATGTA